ATTTGGCAAGTCTAAGAAAATGTTATATTATTATTACCATTTATTTGTGCTTGTTAATTAACTTAATTTATTGTTGCCATTGACTCATTGCTCATTTGCTCATTGGTTTTATTTTCATTAGATAATGGCAAGTGAGGAAGGGAATCGAAATACTTTTACCATTGGGAATAAGACTCAATCAAAGGATCTAGCATGGAAGTATGCAGCCTCACACACCTCCACATAATCCTACCCCTTTTCTTAGGCCATCTAAGGAAAAAAAAATAGCAAACAAGCTTCGTGTATCTAGAGGAGGGATCCATCTGCAACCAAATAAAGAGAGAAACCATTCCCAAATATCATAAGCAAAAGGGCAAGAAATTAGCAAGTGGTATCACCATTAGCCTTGCAAAGGGTGCACCAATTTGGCCTTTTCTTCTGGAGTAAATCACATGTGTTACATATTTCCAAGAAGGCTTCCCAACAAAAAGCTCCAATCCGTGGAGGGATCGGCTCACCCCATACTTCCTTGACTGGAAAAGATTGTATGAAGTTATTGTTCTACTGTGTTAAGGACTTAAAGTAGGAAGCACAAGAGAATGCCCTAGAGGGAGATAAGGTCCAAATTCTACTATACCTTTTTGAAGGATCCAAAACTACCCCATTCAAAATCTGAATTAGGTCCACCAAAGTTCCAAATTCTGACTCCCTAAGGCCTCTTCTAAGACCCAAATCCCAATCATACCCAAAGTTTGACTCAACAGGGATCAAAAAATCAGACACACTTTCCTTTGAAACAGGAAAGGGAGAATAAAGAGGGGAATTGGTCTTTCAGGGGTACATCCCCCACCCACAAGTATTCCCAAAATTTTACCAAATTCCCAAAGCAAAAATCATACCTGATATATTGCAAAAAGGACGAAAGAATGGCATGTATGGATTTCCAAGGAGAGGCTAGATTAGTCCTTGTCACAAGCCCCAAATCCCAGCCATCATCTACTTGTCCATGAGTACTCAAGATAACCTTGGTTCATAGCTTATCCCTATCCCCTCCAACCTCCACAACCATTTCCCCAACAAGGCTTCATTATTCTTCTGAATATCACCTAAACCCAAGCCACCCTCTGCCCTACACTTGGAGACTAACTCCCAATTCACTCCATGATCTTTCGTTTCCTCCCCTGGCTCCCATAAAAAATCTCACATCCACTTTTCCAACACTCTACTTATTTTTTCTAGGATCCTAAATACAGATAAGTAATACACCAGCAAGCTAGCCAATGTAGACTTAAGTGATTCTGTCACCTAGAGATAAATAATTCTTCTTGCAAAAGGCTAACCTTTTTCGTGAACCTATCAACTACTGGGCTCCAAAAACCGTTGTTCTTCGAATTATCCCCTAAAGGCATCCCCAAGTAAATCATAGGCCACTATGACACCACACATCCCAAAATTTCAGCTCTGTCTCTCAACTCTCCTTCTTCCATGTTAACCCCTACCACACAGATCTTAACAAAACTAACCTTTAAGTTCGACATTTTTTTCAAAAAATTGCACTACACCTTCAAATTTCTGACCCACCTCACATCCTCCCCTTCACAGAACAGAATTGTGTCATTAGCAAAATGTAGGTGTGTAATGGTACACTATCTCTTCCAACCCTCCACCCCCTCACTAAGTTCCTTGAACTGCCCTCTCTATTAATTTTCCCAACACTTCTGCAACTAAAGTACAAAGGAATGGGGAAAAGGGGTCCCCTTGTCTAATTCCCCTAGTAGCCGAAAAGTGATCCACTACAAACCCATTCACCAGGATTGAGTAATGACAAGTCTCAATACAACCCAAGATCCATTTGCACCATTTTACCCCAAAGCCAGAGCACTCTATCATAGTTTTTAAGGCGCCAAGGCGAGGCTAGGCAACGGGGGGGCGCCTTGATGGAATTTCTTTAAGTAAACCATATATCCTAGGGTAGTTGATCAAGAGCCCACACTCTAGAATCTGAACCACTGTCCCCCAAGACCACTGAATTCAACAAGCTAAGCAAAGCAGTAACACTGGAAATTTCAAACTCTCTAAGGTTCCTGGTAAGGCCCGAGTTCCAATCCAAACCTGATTGAGAAGAGGAGCTGACAAATTCAGACACAGGTTTTCCTTTGGCTCAGTTTGGAAGGAGTACAAATGAAAATATGTACAGTGCAAATACATACAAAATATAAGGTTTTGCACTCTACATATTTACATTTGTACTCCTTCCAAACTGAGCCTTTAAGGTTGGAAAGTCCGAAGAAAGAAGGAAAGGCCTCAGATAAAGGTGAATTCAAATATGAATATTATACTCATTTGAATGATTCTAGTGTTAATAGTTAGTGTACACGCTTGCTAGTTAGCATACAAAACCAATAAAATAGTTTAGTGTAGGAAAAATAAAAAATTAATAAAACTAATATTTTCAAATTTCATCACCTAGGCACCTGGGCACCCAGTGGTCGCCTAGCCTCGCTTAGTCACCTTGAAAACTATGGTGATTAGGCGAGGCAAGCCTATGCATCTTGTCACCTTGACAACTATGATACATCCTAAATGATTAGCAACCCTCCACTTCATGGTCTCTACCCATCCACAACTATTCAAACTCCACAAGTCACTTAAAATACCCATATCCACCTTTTCCAATTTTGTTTTTACAACCAAACTCCACACTATTACCCCTAATAACATTTCTCACTATCCCCCTCCTGAAGTTTCTCCATCCCCTAACATTCCAATAACAAATTCTCAATACTGGTTTCAGGCATTTTAAATCACTTGTATGACTTCTTAAAAGTTTTCCTTGCAAATTCCACTCCTCCATAAAAATGTAAACCCAGGATTTTGCTTACCTCCACCTCTTTATTCACAATCTTTTCCAACCCAACTGCTTTCTTGACCTGATGAGTCTCATCTACTCAAATTTCACCTTCACTTAATTCACTTGAACCATCCTCCCCTTTCAGACATGTCTAAGAAGTGTTAGAAATCGACTGTGTCCTATAATTTCTCTTCCTTCTATAGTATACACCCTGGAATCTTTCACCCCACCACTTCTTTCCCTTTTTATTTCTATTTTCCCTATCTCCCTTTCTTTGTTGCTAATCCTCCTTTTCTTTTGTCAATCTCTTACATGCTTTTGTAGTGTCCCCAACCCTTTCTCCTTCTCCACTAACGTCCCTTCGGCCTTCCCACCCTTTTGGATTCAAAATTTATATTACCTCTTTCAGTTTCATCGTGCGCCCTGTCATCAACCTGGTCCACCATGGCTACTGAGTCAGTTCTCTCTCCTTCGATCTCATGCAAGTTATCTGTAGTACCTTCTTCAACTATCGGCTGTGTCTCGTGTCCTTGACCCATCACATACTCTAATCTCCCTTCAGAAAAGATATTCCTCATTTCAGATTCAAAAGGAAAGAGACAAGTGTCACTTACCACTGGAAGCACATTACCAGGTATTCTTTCAATTCTATAGAATTCCTTCAAATCTTTTTCACCCCAAAATCCACCGCTCTCTCCCACCCCCCCCCCAGCTGTTCCAATTGATTACAAGATCTTCTACCCCTTTCTCACCAGATCCACTAGTTAGCATTTGGAAACCCCTTAAACCCTCTATCTTCCTCTTTTTTCCACTGTCATCTACTGAAGTCCCCCAATCTTGTTTGTATCCAGAGAAAGTAATGTGCCATTGGTAGTCACCTCTACCTCTTATTCCAATTTTCTTCCCAAACTGTTAATAAATAAATTTAACAGTTGCGGTTCAAAAAAATCACATTAATCAAATCAAATTAAATATAATTTCAGATATCATATAATGCTCTCAAATCGAATTGGAATCCAAACATTGAATATCAATCACATATTATATTGAACCAGATATTGGATATATCTTGTCAAATTGAAATCAGATACAGCCCAGTCTGAATTCAATTCCACTTGTTTGCTTCCCTACTCAAATATAAAACACTTCCCAATTGAAACATTTGAGGCCATGATGATAGAAGGAAAAGGTGAAAAGTGTATGATTTCAAGGAAACTCCGACAAGTCCCATCCAATGTTTTAAAAGGCAATTGAGACATACACACCTAGAGGCATGAGGCACATTGAAAACACCCTGAGAAATAAGCTGGAGGTGTGGATGCCTGATGCATACACCTCAAACACCTTTTGCATGAGGCATATGTCTCATGCACACCCATGCAAGAGGCTTATTCTAGCACAAAACAAAGGGGCAAATTGCAAGCCCATATCAAGGGGTTCTATTGATGGCACATTGTATAATCCATTATTTTATTCAATTAATAAAATTTCAATGTTACCAATCAAGAAAAAAAAAGAAGAATTAATAATCAAAAAATATATCAGTCTTAAAGTACCAATGTAAAATGTGCAAGTTCTCGGCAAAATAGATACCAAGAAGAAGAAGTTGTGGCTTTCCTACCCCTAGACCTACTCTTTAGGAGGCTTATGCCTCTTGCATTCTGAACTACACCTCCTGCATCAGCCTAGTGGAATGCCTTGTGGCATGCCTCCACATTTTAAAACATTGGTTTCATCAGCTCAAAACATAGCCTTAATCTCAACTATTTGGGGTTGGCCACATTTTCCCACTGCACTCTATTCAGAGCTATAACTGATGTGAGTTATGTTGAATCTCATCAACACTGTTACCCCCAAATCCAATATGGATCAAATCCCAAGAGGCCAGCCTAAATAAGACCTCTTTGCATATGAGAGGAATGGGCAAAGGGATCATGTAGTTCAGGTCTAACTAAGCCTAGAGAAAGACTAAGAGAAGGGGAGTGACAACAGACAGACCCCTAAAAGACATAGCAGTCCAAACAGAAAATCTTTCATCAGACCCAATCCAGGACAAGATGGAGAAAATCTCTTTTACCTTAACTTTATTTTTTTTCCTCTTCTATCAGTACTTTATTTTGCCTAATGCCATTGAGTTTCTTAAACTACATTAATCAAATAAAGTGCTTACAATTTCGGATGAACCCTCTCTGGTGGAACAAGTTGCACTTTCAATATGTGCTCAAAGAGAAGTTGATTATTCATGGTATCAACTACAATTTCTGCCACCTGCACTTAAAAACAGAAATTGTTGTAATAAACTCTGGAAATGGAGTTGAGGAAGCATGTATCCTGCTTAGAGTAGGTATAACCTCTGGACACTCAAATTCGATGAAGCCAAAATGTTTTGAGTTTCCTGTCTGTAAATAACCAAAACAAGGAGAAGTCAAGATCAATGAACCAAAAACATGGCAGGGCTAAATAACATTGGCAGAACCTATCACACAATAACTATTAGAAGAATAAAAGCTTTTATGGACACTTCACTTGCAAGGATATTTAAGAATAATAAAAAATATATACAAAATTAAATAAAAATAATAGGGGTGCAAGTCGGAATGGCCTGAGTTAACAGTTTACACTGTTCCAAGCTTGGGCTTCGGGTTGGTAGATCCTTCCAAGTTGATGTATTTTTCCATTTCTCTATGTGTTTTTCGAGTTCCATTTAGTGGTGTCTCTGTCCTCAGCAATTATCCCTCCTCTATCCTCGCTTTTTTATGGGTTCATTGTTCTTTTTGATAGATTTTTTTAGTGTTACTTTGTTACAGACATTTTCTATTACCAATAAAAAGTATATAAGACAAATCATTTGGAAAAATAATAAGAATTAAGATTTTTTTGAAGACAAAACTAAACCCCAAACGTTATATCCACTTTAAAGCCTACAAGCTACTTAACAAAATGCCATGAATAATCCAGTAGACAAACCTAAAAAAAGTTTACTTGTAAAAATCTATACAAAATAAAGAAAAGGTGGGGAGGTGAGGGTCCTCTCAACACAGAGCTCACATACCTCCTCCTCCTCTCCTTTCTCACATGTGCATATTTATTTTATGTTAAATCCAAAGTTCAAAATTTCGATACAATCGGGCATATCATATCGTATCATTGGGGTCCCAAAACACCTGTTTACATGTGTTTCGGGAACCCCATTCTTTTTAATAAAAAATATAGTTAAAAAATAAGCCTAAAAAACAAATTTTGAAAAAAAAAAAGCTAACATAAAGGCACGTAGTTTTAAGTACTGATACGCCTTTTTCCAATACACAGGGGTGTATCGATACTTTGAACCTTGATTAAATCATTAAAAAGCTCATGAGTCTTTATTGTCTCTCATAAAATCCATATTTACTCTCTCATAAATCTCTCTCTCACCTTAATAGTCAATATTTGTAACATCTCCCCTCCCTATTAAATCCTTATTTTTCTCTTAAATATCTCTTAATCCCTTTTGGCTCTTACTAATAAAGTAGGGCGTAAATTAGATGGGTTGGATTAGGTTAAGGGTCAACCTAAATATGAACCTTAGCTTGGATCCAAATTAATGTGTAAAAACCAGGCCAAATTTTCCCACCAGTACATGGGGTGAACCAATCTAAACAAATCATTAATTGCTCCTTTCCTTGGGTTATCAAGTTTTCCCCCCTATTTTGCTCCTTTCCTTGGGTTCAGGTTTTCCCCTTTGTTCTTATTAATTTAATTTAATAAAGATTTGTTTAATGGATTGTTCTGGTTCAATAATAAAATGTAGTAAGAAAGAATTTAATGCGAGTTTTGATTATCTTCATTAATTCAATTTTGAAATTCTTTTTTTAACTTGGTTATTAATCTCATGCTAAGCACATTTTTTGGCTTTATAGAGCTACACAATGGGAAGTAGCCCATTGCCCCAACCCATAAAGTATCAATTAAGCCACCATCAGTTGGTTTATGTGCTTCTCATAATATATAAGCTATATAAAAAGGGAAGTTTGAAGCTCAATATCTAAAAAGGAAAAGAAAAATTTTTTTCTACCACTCTACACATAAAAAATAGAAATACAGCATCTCGTGCATAGCAGGGGGTCACCACTAGTATAAATATAAATCTGGAAGACTCACTTTCTTATTTCGGGCAATTCTTAATCTCTTGATCGTACCAAACTGTGAAAAAAAACCTGTACACAAACCATCTACTTAAAGATAGAGAGTAACGGCAAAAATAAGGTAAGCGGAACATTAAGTACTTCAAAATTAAAAATTGAATCTTGTAGGAAAAAATTAAAAATTGAATCAACCTTCCATTTCATCCTCATAGAACCCATGTGGTATACGGCCAATATACACAACAGTGGCTTTATTTTTCTTAGGTTCCTCTTGTCCATGAAGCAGTTTTTTCCCAGGACCACCTTCTAATGGCTTCAGACAACACAAGATATGTAAACAACAAATATTGAAAAAATAACAAACTGTAGAGCAAAAGAGAAGATCACTAAAGCAGTAAAATCATCGACCCACGTACCAAGAAATCAGCAGCTTCATTTTTACGATTAGAAAATGACAATTGAGATGAGCCCTTCTTTATTCTTTTCATCATTGCTTTCTTCGCCTTGGCACCCATTTCTCTGCAAGCACAAAAGGGAAAACCCACATAGAATTCGGTGGACTGAAAGACTGAAACAAAGATCAATCGAATTTGAACAAACATGTAAACAAAACTAATGAATGTGAACAAATTTTCGAATTCAGGAATTAAAAATAAATATTTAAAATTTAAAATAAAATAAATTGCTGGAGATTGCAGAAACAGGCGTCAGGCGGTGGGAGGAGGAGGAGGAGAAGAGAGGAACCATTGTCACGCAAGTGGCGGTGAACAAACCACCGCCGGAGAAGAAGAAGGAAGAGGAGGAGGAAGAGGAGGAGAACAAACGACCAACGGAGCTGAAGGGACAGGGTGAACAGACCACCGGCGGGAAGAAGGAGAAGAAGAAGAAGAAGAAGAAGAAGAAGAAGAAGAAGAAGAAAAAGAAGGAGGAGGAGAGAGAGTACCTGGCGTCGTCGCCTACTGCTTGAGGCGGTCGACGGCGAGACTGCGAATCGCGACTGTTGCTAGCGGTGGAGGAGGCGATGTTCGGTGATGACTGGAGACCGAGCTCGAACGATAGAGAAAGAGGGACGAGGGTTTTGGGGATTTTGAGTTGGTTTAGCCGTTTTGTAAAGGCTGCGTTTGGTTGCAGTGTAATTTTATTTGTAGTAACACAAATAAATAAAAGTTCAAACAAAATAAGTTAAAATTTGAAACAAAAACAAGTCATAATTTATACTCAAATCATTTGCATTGTCATAGTTTTGTATCAATGTAAATTGATTCAACTTTGCATTATTTTTGTTTTTTTTGATAAAAGTTGGGGTGTAACAAAATCCGCCGGTTATATAAAACTGAGACCGGTTTACTGGTTTCCAAGTTGAACCAAACGAGTGGGCAGTTTTTTACGATTTTTAATGGAACATTTTGGGGTATGTCCAAAGCAGAAGGGTCCAGGTTACAGTTAACCAATCGGTCCAATCTGATATTCGAAACATTGGTTTTGACGAAAAGGGTTCCCAATGCAAATGGAACCTAACCAATTAATACCCATCACACTAATCTCTTTACCTCCCACTTTTCCATCGCCACCCTCAAAATGATTGATTAGATGATCAATTCATAGCAACTAAGGATCAAAGTGTCAGTATCTAGTATTATATCGGATAGTTTGGATACAAATACGCTTTAAAAATGCATGAATATAAACGAAAGATATGAAAACACATGGATACGCTAGGAAAATAATACAAATTTAGTAAATGCATAAATTACACTAACTTTAAAAATCAAAATAGCCACTTGTGGGATTACAAATTCACGATAAACTATCAACTTTTTTTATATCTTAAAATAAATCAATTCATGAGGTCATCAAACTATTGGGGTTATCTGTTGAAAAGCCTGAAACACATTCATTAAGGGGGGGGTGTTTCTATAACATGAATGCTTTTGTTTTCATTTGCTTTTGAAATCGTTGCATCAACCAAAAAAAAACAAAAACAAAAACAAAAAACATGTGCAAGTAGGAATCATTCCCAAAGTCTTTGCTACAACCAATAGGAGACTTTACCACCAGGCAATTGGTAACGTTCCAATACATGTTTATTGGAACCATCAAAATAGTGGTTTTTAAAACAAAAGCGAATTTTTTATTATGGAAAATTGTATGATTTATGGAACATGATATTAAATAACCAGATGAAAACATATTTCTTAAACCAAAAATTCTTTTTTTATTTCAATTTTGATAACAAATAACACATACACCAATGATCAAAGTATCGGCATCGGATATCTATTGAAAAATTTGGACACAGATACGCTTTGGAAACGCATGTATACGCTAGGAAAATGATACAAATTTCGTAAATACATCAATTACACTAATTTTAAAAGTCGAAATAGCCACAAATAAAACATAAATACATAAAGAAATATATTACTAATATAACAAGATACATAAATATCATACAATTTTGTTGATAATCTAACAATCAAGAGTCTAAGACTCATATTATATAGTTTTTACAAAGTAAAACATGCACAAAACCATTATTATGTTAAATTCTATAAGTCCAAGACACAGAACATGTGCAATTATTATATTTTAATTACTATAGCAATTATTTTCTATTTTTACTTTTCAACATTAACAAAAAAAGTCAATTAAATATTAAATTTTGAAATGTTTGATAATATCAAAATTACTATCATATGAAATTTATAATTTTTCTAAGATACATATATTATTATCATATTTTTACATTTAATCTTAACTCAAAGTATATATTAACTATTTTGAATTTTATTTAATTTAAGTGAAATTAAAGCATTGTTTTATTAATAAAATTAATTTATTTATTGTATTAAAAGTAAATCTTTATTATTTTTTATGTTTTTCTTTATTTTCTAAACGAATTTTAAATTAGTATAAAATAAGTTTGAAAATAACATATTTCCCTAGTTTCTATTTGAAACACCCCCAAAAAAAACACTCTAAATAAAATTATATGACTGTATAATCTAAAATCTAAAACTTAATTATTAAGGAATGGATACATGTTTTCTTCAGAGCCCAAGGCAAGTTTCATTCATCAATGGACAATGAATTACATCTCATTCAACACCAAATACCTAACAAAAATTGGGGTTGAATACCAGGTTTTGGAGCAACTGTACCTCACTGGCCATAGCATAGTGAGCTTGCTTGTGGGCCACTCAATTACAAAAGCGATATGTAAAAAGCAACATACTATAAGAAAACCACGAGAGAAGCTGCTTGCAACATAGGATATGGGCGTAATTGAGTTGAGTCATTGAATATCAGCATGTCTTGGTTCAATTTGACTAAAATACTATTATGTATTTTTTGTTAGAGCTTAATTCGATTTAAATATTCAATGAATTACACTTTACTTAAAAGTTCAAAGTATGTATGTATGCATATATCTGTATATGTGTGTATAATTAAACTTACCTTGAGGTTTGAGCTCAATTCAATCTCGATTAGAATCGAACGTAATCAATCTTGAAACCAAACTGTTTGATTAAAACTAGATTTGATTGTACCTCTAACTTGGAATAGTGGTATGGATCAACCAAGGTGGACCCTCATTTGTACAAAAGAGCTTCAATGATGGACCTAGAGTCACCGCCCCAAGCACTAATGGAATGCATGGCATGTTATGAGCCAATTTCGAGCCTTCTACAATTGCCATTGTTTCAAATTCAATAGGATAAGAGCAATTAGTGAGGAATGCTCAGCCAACTATGAGATAAAGACATAAAACGCATTATAAAAAGTAAAGCCTGTTAAAATTGCAAAATCCAATTACAATAAAGATCCACTCATAGGCTTAAGCTTTTTAGGGATGCAAACGAATCAGATCGAATTCGAAATAGGATCTATCCGAATCTGACTAGATAATGTTCATGTCGGATCCGATCCAATCTGATTTGATAGGCCTCGATTTGAATCCAAATCCTATCTATAAGTCGGATCTTCATATCAAATATGATTCAATTTGTTTTCTTTAAAAATTAATAAATTATTAAAAGAAAAATAAAATATACCAATTAATATAAAGAAAAAAAAAACAAAAATTACAAATAATTTGTAGTTATTTTTATCATATATATATACATGTTTCTTATAAAAATAAACAATATAACAAATTTATAAAAATACAATATAAATAATATGTTTATAAATAAATAAATAGCATATATATATGTATTATATATATTCATATTTATAAATATATAATATATATAGGATCGGATCTTCCCGAATCGAATAGGAATAGGGGTGATTTGAATACATAAAAATGTGCATTTTAATGATAAAGAAATATATTACTAATATAACAAGATACATAAATATCATACAATTTTGTTGATAATCCATCAATCAAGAGTCCAATACTCATATTATATAGTTTTTACAAATTAATACATGCACAAAACCATTATTATGTTAAATTTGATAAGTCCAAGACACAAAACATGTGTAATTATTATATTTTAATTATTGTAGCAATTATTTTCTATTTTTACTTTTCAACATTAACAAAAAAGTCAATTAAATCTTAAATTTTGAAATGTTTGATAATATCAAAATTACAATCATATGAAATTCATAATTTTTATAAGATACATATATTGTTATCATATTTTTACTTTTAATCTTAACTGAAAATATATCAAAATTATTAAAATTTAAGAAACATATCATATGAAATTCGTAATTTTTAATTACTAAAGTAATGATTCCATTATAAATTTTCTGAAATAAAAAATCATTTTTATATAAATTTAAATTAGTGGATTTGATAAATTAATTTAATATTATATTCTTGAATATTTTGTAAACAATTTTTTATTTTTGTAAATAATAAATATGTTATTTAGTCTAAATTAAAATATCAATGAGTATTTTATAAAAATATATCAAAATTTGAAGATACATATAATGTAATAATTTATGAATTTTAAGTACTAAAATAATTATTCTATTATTAACATTTTTATTTGTATAAATTTATTTAGAGTAAAAAACAATTTTTGATATAAATGTAAATTTGATAGATTGTTTACTTCATTAATGTTTATAAAATACTAATTTTAATATTATTTTTTAATTTTAATCAAGAATTATTGAACGTAAACATATTGTATGTGTTTAAGTTGCATGTTAATAGTGAAGTTAATAAATTTTATTTTATTTTAGTTTATATCATAACATAAGTGATGGCACTATGGCTCAAGATGTTTGGCGCATAGTGGTGCAAGCGTGAGGACTTGGGTTTGAATCTTCGTAATAGTGTTTTTAAACAAGAGAGATGCCCGTGTATTAGTGTTTATCATCACGTATCAATCCATATCGATTGATTGCGATACACACCAATTTACATATCGTGTCGATAATTTAATCCTTGATAGCAACCTACTCTCTTTGTAGGTGGCCTGTCCATTTCCAACTTCATGCATATTTCTTTACCTGCCCCTAGTGCGCATTCTGATCTAGGGAAAACTCGCTTTTATTGCTGACTTTTTTATTGTTTTGATGGCACTACGTAGTTTTTTACATAAATTTTGCATTATGCATTATCACAACTTGGTTGCCTTAAATCAAACCCTCACCATATAATTCCTAGCTAGTCCTTCACTCCTTTTGATAGATCAAATAATCAAAAAGAAAAGTATGGCAAATATTACAATAATAAAAAAGGATTTTTGATAACAAAGAGCAAAAAATTAATAATAAATATAATGCCAAAGTATAATAAAATAAAAAAATGCCAATCACCTTTTCTGACCCGAGGAGATTTTCAGAACCATGGCATTCAGTTGCAAAAGGGTTAAGACATTGGACTCCGAGAATATCAAGTCATCAAAATCAGAGAACTCTAAAGAGCTATATGTCGAGAAAGAGAATCAACACCAGTCTCTAATAAGAGTAGCAATGTTGTTGAGTGTAGTACCCACCTGTTAGACAGTTTTGTATGCCCTTAGCTCCAATTAGTTTTGATGTACTTTTGACATTTAGTATAAATAAATAAAGTACATGTTTGATTCATTTGTGTGGTATATTTCTATGTAAGACCCTTAAACTAGACACTTAATGAGACTCGTGTTAGT